GTTCCCATCCTTCTGCCAAGTCAGCAGGTCCTCTCAGGGGAGGGGAGGAATAAGCCCAGGCATCAGGACAGATTAGGGGTTGACCTGCTGCAGAGCAGCTGYGCAGGGAGGGACCTAGGAGTCCTGGTGGACACCAAGTTAACCGTGAGGCAGCAGTGCCCTGGTGTCCAAGAAAGCCAATGGGATCCTGGCTGCATCAGGAGGAGTGTTGCCAGCAGGTCAAGGGAGGTGATCCTGCCTCTCTACTCATGTTGCCAGCAGGTCAAGGGAGGTGATCCTGCCTCTCTACTCAGCTCTGGTGAGGCTGCACCTGGAGTATTGGGGACAGTTCTGGGCTTCCCAGTATAAGAGGGATGTGGAGCTTCCAGAGAGGGTCCAGCATAGAGCAACAGTGATGTTTAAGGAACTGGAGCATCTCTCCTATGAGGAAAGACTAAGTGAGCTGGCCCTGTTTAGTCTGGAGAAGACTAAGAGGAGATCTGATCTATATGTATAAGTACATGAAAGGAGAATGAAGGGAGGAAGTGGCCAAGCTCTTCTCAGTGGTGGCCAGTGACAGGACAAGGGACAGCGGATACAAGTTGCAACACAGGCAGTTCCATGTCCAGGTGAGGAAGAACTTCTTTCCTGTGAGGGTGCCAGAGCCCTGGCACAGGCTGCCCAGGGAGGCTGTGGAGTCTCCTTCTCTGGAGATCTTCCCAACCCGTCTGGATGCCACCCTGTGCCCCGTGCTCTGGGTGTCCCTGCTGGAGCAGGGGGTTGGATTGGATGGTGTCTAGAGGTCCCTTCCAACCTCAACCATTCTGTGATTCTGTGAAAACATTGTTCACAGTTTTGCACAATTCCTTCACAAAGTCAGGGCACTGTAAAAGTAAAGATCTAATCACTGCACTCTCTCAGCTATGTTGCATGCTCTTTTCCTTTTATATTACAYGTTTTGCCGTATAGTAATCCATAACATACTCTGAAAGGTGTGTACTAGTCATAAAGAATTTAAACTGTTTTGGAACCAACAACTTCCTTTGTGCTCTGAAGTCTAATAGAAATCAGTGGGAGGTCTGTGTGTCTAAAGCAAAGAATAAGAACCTTAAATTTTAAAACCGGTTGCTGCCTGTTGGCAGATAGTGAAAAGAACAGAATGAAAAGTCTTTTTTTTTTTTTTTTTTTATTTTATTAAAGAGCACAGATAAACCCATACCTTTTTTCCTCATTCCACATGACTGTACGGGACCAGATCTTCTACTGATTACGTCTGCTTTTAATTGTTTTGCATGATCAAAAGATTTATAAGAACAAGCTTGTAGTTTAACAATGCAAACGGAGAAGTATATAATTTTTGAAAGTATAATTAAAGCACAATGTCTATTCAAAATTAACCATGGATTTGTCCATCTTAAATTCTTCAATTCAGCCATCTGTTATTGTGTAGACAGGAATGATGTAAAACTAATATATCTTGATCAAAAGACCACAAGGCACTATTCTGCCTTCAGAGAACCTACAGTATTCTAGGAAAAGGTGTCTTTATTCCTTCTTGTGCCAAACACAGTACAGGAGACAGATACACCCTCTCCTTCATAGATTAAAATATTTGTGCCATAGTATGTGTTGTRAATTATTTGTGAAAGCTAAAGGAATGAAATAGAAATCTGTCAAGAAAATTGATATATTTATTCAGTGTTTTGGGAAAGTGGCCTGAATAAGTGGTTGGCTGATGTAAATGGAGAGCGTCCTTCTTGCTCTTTTTGAGATTTTTGAGATTCAGTAGGGTAAACAAAGAACTAGTAACTTCATCATGAATTAAGTGAGCTAGAGGGTTCACTTGCATTGCTCCTGTGCTTTAATATATCTTTTGCAAAACATGACTCATACTTATTTCATGCATTATTTTATTTTTATTATAAACGCAAATCATTAAGCGAAAGTGTGAATATTTGAATCAGACTTCTTGTTTTGGAATGTATGTGAGCTTGCCCTCACATAAAAATATGTATTTTGTTAGTAGGAACAAGTTTAAGGAAAAATCACTGGGAAAGAAATGATTAGTTAAGCTATTTTTATCATTCAGTTTATGATACTTAAACTAACCGTGCTTGTATTTTTTATCTTTTTTAATACAGCTATAAATTTATGATAACAAAACAGCATGCAAACTTTCAAGCTAGAATTAGAATGATTATTTTTATACAATAATTTTTAAATTTCAATTTTTCACAGCTTTTTTAATGATTCATACCAAATTCTTGAAATTCTTACCACCTGTTGTTTGGAAACAGTTCCTATAAAAATTGAAGTATTTCAGTTTAGGAATTTGATTAACGAAACAAGTATATAAATAACCACTTAAGGCAATTATTATTACATAATCAATTGTTAGGGAAAATCAGTGTATATTTAATTTAAACAATCATTTGCTCATTTTAGCTCCATAATGCGTAGCCTGCTGTGACCCTAAATTAGGTCTTCCATACTTCAAAAAGTATTTCTTTGGTTTTCTACCTTTTCATAAGTATCAATCATTTCTTAAATAGATAAATGTCTTTTTATAGWAAGCTTGATTTGGTCATGTCACTTTGTCACTTAAAAATGCTATCTGGATGAAAGGACTTTATTTCTCAGAAATTTTATTTGAATACTGTTACTTAGGTTTGAATTGAGAGCTTAGAACTTCTTTATGAAAGCACTGAGCAAAATTGTATTACGGAGCTCCTTTATGGCTTTAACTGCCACTGTATTTTTGTAGAGGGCCACACAATCAACTCAGTTGTAGGAGGAAACTAGTGGAGAAATGAGTTGTGCCTTAGGTAGTGCTATGTCACTTACCTTTAATGTGCTGCTTGACCTTTTTTGACTGATTCAGTCCATGGGTGTAGTCACTTGGGCTTTTGGTTTATTCTATTTTGGTATATCTAACAAACCTGTGTTCTGAGACAGAAACATTCTGACTTTGCCTCACTATATTTGGTATTAAACACTAATGCATTACAGTGAATCTTYGCAGGAGTGAACATGTTGGCTTTTAAAGACTTGTAAGCCACTGGTATGTTGTGCATTATGATACAGCCTCCCGCTTTTGCTTTTTCTTCTGTTGTCTCACCCTTTCATGCTTGTGTCATAGCTGTGATTTGAGAACAGTGCATCATCACAGGTATTTAAGTAAAGCCATGAAAATATTTTTCTGGCTTTTTCTGGCTGGAAAAATCTGGCTGCATTTTTAGTGGATGAATATATTAGAAGCACACCATTTAAATCAGATTATGTTTGTGCATAATTTGTATCAGTTTTATGTGTATTCATGGTATGCTTATTTTTATTGTAAATCACAAAAGAAATTTCTAAGAAAAGGGAAAGACATTTGATTTGGTCTTGTGTTGTCTAAGTATGTGCTAGCATTAAGTGACATTATTTTTCTGCAATTGTTTTTCTTGTAGTTGCTCACATATGAGGATTTTGTTTTTATTAAAGGCCAAAAATCCTAAACCAAATCAAAAAATTATCAAGCTTATAATATTAATAATGACCTCAACTCAAGACATTAAGTTGGGAATTAATGATCAGTTAAGGTTAATGACTCAATGCTTTGAGTCATTAAATTCCAAGAAAATGTTCTGTACTTTCATTGTTTTTGGTTTACTAAAGATAGGCTTTAGAAGTTGAAAAAAAATCTCTATTTCTGAAAACATGTACAGGAAAAATAATCATTTTATTATCTGTCTCCTTCTGCAATCCCAGCGTAGGTAAAAATCCTGTTACACTTGATGAGAGTTTTGTTAGTCTAAGGATGCAAGGAACAAAATGTTTGATAGCTGTCTTTTTTTTTTTTTTTTCTTTCTTTCTTGTTTGGGTAAATTAATGAAGAAACCTCAAGGTTTTGGCAAAGCATAGGTTAACATTGCAGTGTTAGAAATGTGCATCACCTTTATGAAAAATCATTCCAAAATACCCCCTAACTAAGCAATTATTCAGATATTGCAATAGAACCATCTTAGGATCCAAACGGAGGAATACATACCTTTGGATATGCACTATATGTAGCAGATATGTATTTGCTTTTAGTGGGTAATAAGTATTTTCATTGTAATCGGTATCTAATTTGTATGCTACTTACACAGTCCAGGAGATGGAAAGTTGTGTATGTGAGCATTTAACAGACAAGGAGTATTTAAACCTGGAGCCCTTTAATTATCCTTACCGGGCAAATGTAGGCTGCTGTGATGGCAGTTGCTCAACAATATCTTACAAATAATTCTGAGTCCTTTCTGACATAAAGTAGTATATTTAAAGTAAGGTGACTTAGTGAGATTTTCACTTTAAATAGAATAAGGGTTAAATGATAACTTGACTTATCTTTTAAATGACAAAAAATAAAGAAATTGCAAGACCTTTTCACACATTAGATATGTATTGTCATTTATCATCTAGATATCAGGCTAGCAGTGCGAAGTAATAAAACATATCATCGAAAAATGTGCTATAGGTCTGAATCACTCTTTCATTCCACCTCCCAGCTAACTGTAGTATTAAATCAAACAAGCAGAACATTTCCTTAGGCAGCCATTGCCTTTTAATTTCCTGAAGAACCTTAAAATATCATTCATTACAAGTACTACACATATTTGGTTTTTAAAAGTCTCATAAATCAATAGCAGGCTGACTGTAATAATTATTACAAGTTAGTGCATAATTTTCGTGCTGAAGGCTGCATGCAGAACTTTAGCATATGCAAACGAGGCAATTCAAACTGTGTATAGATATTAATATGAAGAAGCAGGTAACGAGGTGCAGGCTATGAATTATGCATCAAGAGTGGCTGATCTTCAATGAGGAAAATGAATTCAGCATGTAATCTAATTAGTGATGGAAGTCTATTACATCTAACTGCAAAAGCAACCGTCCTTGAAACAAATTTATTTACAGTCCATGTTACCACTTGAAACAACTTTGAAATGATGTGTAAGACAACAGCTTAATTGTAAAAATTTTTTGTTTGTTTGTTTCAGTTCGAGACCTGGAAGGCCTCCTAAGAGGACTCAAAGTGTCACCTCCCCAGAGAATTCCCACATCATGCCACATTCTGTCCCCGGCCTCATGTCTCCTGGAATCATCCCGCCAACAGGTAGGAAAAAACACCTTTGCTGACACTTGCCTTTTTTTGCATAGTTGACTGGTGCCCACTTTGTTCATAAATTAGCCACCTAAACAAAAGCACCCGCGCACCACAAATGAGTTCTGCAATGTGGGGGCTCTTGTGAACAGCTACTGAGTACGTAGTAATCCATTACAATTTTTTCTCTTTACTTGCTCTTTTTAAACAAAAACTTGTCAGAGCATGAATTAGCTTAAAATAGTGACCRTTATATTCGTTTTTAAAAGCTCAGATATCTTATAGTTTTTGCTCCTTTGCTTGATTAGATAATGTTTTCATGAGTACAGTTGCCTGAAGAAACTGTGTCAGCTAAAATAACTCTGTGCTACACACACGTCTTTCTTAATTTTTCATCCACAAATTCTTTTTTTGATATGTCTCCTGAGGCCTTGTACTCATGTGTAGTCCAGTAACAATCTGTTTCTCAGACTACTATTTTCTTTTGAAAGTAACTCTATTATCGTTGGATAGTTACTTACTGCTAGACATAGACTCACTTAAATTACGAGGGGACTAGGTTGCAAAGAAGTGGTAAACAGAGGCGCCAAAAGATGACGGAAACCACAGATCAACTGTTGACTCTAGTACCACATTCTAGCTCTTCAGGTTACAAACTACTTTAAATCTCTTGCTTGCTTCAGCAAAGCTGATCTTACCTCCTTCCCCAGACAGCTTAGTCTCCCATACCTATGTTTCTTAAGGTAAAGAGGGATAAACAGGATTGTTGAGTCACATAGATAGAGGTCAGAATGGATGTTCAAATGCTTGAGTACTTGAATATCGGCGTGATCCTTGGCATGGATTTGGTCATAGCTGACTAATGCCTCCAAAATGATGCAGTTCATGGAATATTTCATTCCGGAGATTGCTGAAAGTTTTGAGTGGAAAGTGCCTGGAGGAAAGAGGAAGGGAAGAGAGTTTGGCTGTATGAACACAAGGGAGCCAATTCTCTTGTTCTTAGGGCCAGAGAACTGTTTTACATAGTGACACCAACATAATCAGAACAGTTTTATTGGCGACCTAATGTTTTCTAAAGACTAAAGATCAAGAGTAGAGACAAAATGAAGATATTTCAGACAACTAAAGTAGTGACAGAAGTATAAAGTGAGGGAAGGAGGGATGGGTTTGAATGTGTAGGTGTGCATACAGGCAGAGTGTCAGGCAAGAAAGGCTCACAGTGATAGCCTGGGCTGATGTGACCACCAACACAAAATGAATCAGAATTAAAAAAAAAAAGAAAAAAGTCAGACGGGAAAGGCTATTGGATAAAATCTAATAAATATATTTGGTACAGAGGGGAAAGGAACATGAGAATAGGAGGTAGGGGCTATGTAGGGAAAGAATGAAAGCTTTTATAGGGAACAAGCTCTGGTGTTTGTGAGCAAGAGATCAAAAAGTGCAGAYGCAAAAGGAAATTATTTGGGAAAAATAAGACAGGGAAATATCAAAGGAAAAATGCAGGTGAGAAGTAGAAAGGAGATGACATGAAAGAAGTCAGAGAGAAATAAGCAAGCAAAGAAAAGGAAGACAGGAAAAAAAAACCCTCTCCTTGATAAGGAATCATTTTTGGGTTTTGTCTTACAGATAGTATCTAAAAGCAGATCCCTTCATGATATAATATCTTTTCTTTTYTTTTTTTTTTTTTTTACATATTTTTTGTTATAAGGGACAGCTTAAAAACAAAGCTAATGTCTAAAATATCCTTTCCTCTCTAGTCCTTTAAAGCTGGCCATGAGTAAATCATAAATAATACCTTTAAAGAGCCGCAGATCCAGTTTCTTAGAATATCAGCCCACAAAAACAAATATAGGTACCTTTCAAAATGGTGATAAAAAATTAAAATAAAAAAAAAGAAAAGAAGAAAAAAAGAAAGAAAATAGGTATATATAAGATTATAATTCATAGGGTATTACTGGGTTGTTCATGCTTTTAAGGTCCCTGGCATTAAGGAGAAGTTTAAATGAAATAGCTATTAAATTTGAAGCTATTTCACATCACATGACTTGCTCTAAGAAAAAGAGTGAGCCTTTTTAGTGAGCCTTCAGGTGAGCAGGTCTATATGGCAGTCTGTACATCATTTTATAGCGAGATGTGCACTACAAGAGATATACAGTACAAGAGGGATGTGGGGCTGCTGGAGAGAGTCTGACACAGGGCTACGAGGATGGCCTGGAACATCTGCCCTATGAAGAAAGGCTGAGAGAGCTRGGTCTCTTCAGCCTGAAGAAGAGAAAGCCGAGAGGGGATCAGATCAGTGTCTACAAATACCTCAAGGAAGGGAGTGAGGAGGATGGGGCCAGTCTCTTTTTGGTGGGGCTGGTAGGACTGGAGGAAACGGTCACAAACTAAAGCATCAAAAGTTCCACAAGAACTTAAGGAAAAATTTCTTGACAGTGAGGGAGGCAGAGCACTGGAACAGATTGCCAGGAGAGGTTGTGGAGTCTCCTTCTCTGGAGATCTTCCAAACCCACTTGGATGTAATGCTGTGTCATGTGCTCCTGTGATCCTGTGTGTGCAGGGAGTTTGGACTAGATGATCTGGTGATCTCTAAAGGTCCCGTCCAACCTTAAGGATTCTGTGACTCCATGATTCTATGATGATCTGGGCCCAAGGGTAACCATGATAAACATGGGCCCAAATGATCTGATCCTGATCACTGAAAATCAGTGAGTGATTGTGCATGTGCCCTGAAAATAAGTATCAAATACAAAAAGAAACATTGTAATAGCCCTTCCAAGAGAGGACAGCTATAACTGCAATATATGATACAGGTACTATTTTATGTGCTGCTAGTAATGGAAAATTCCTGCCAATTTTGAACATTTTTCTCCATATTTTTACCATATACTCACAGAATCACAGAACAGCTGAGGCTAGAAGGCATATTTTAGGACTGTGTAGACCAAAAAYAGGAGCTGCTAGATCCTCAGCTTTCTCAGGACTGAGTCTAGTTAGTTTTGAATAAATCCAAGGATGAATACTGCATTTGTATTTTAGTTTGTGCTCAATGAATCTTGTCCTGCAACTCAGCAGCACTAAAGAGAGTCTGGCCCTGCCTTATTTTCAATCCCAAACATTTTTTTTATGTGCTAGTACATGTTCTTTCAGTAATAGAGATCTGAAGATGCGAGGCCATATCTAGGATACAGTGCTATGATTTAATGTTTGAATTTTATCTGAAAATTTCCTTGTTACCAAGAAACTAAATCTGCTGCATACTCAAAGGTAGCAGTACATTTAAACGTGGGAAACTTGGTTTCAAAAGAAGTTTGCTGCTTTGGAATGTGCTGCTTCTGCATGCAGATAGTATTGCTACAGAACCGTATACTGAGATTTGCTAATGGAAATTTCATAACTATATGTCATTTTTGTTGGAGGACATATAAGGATCCCTGGAACATATATTTGCTTGGGGGTTTACCCGGAATTCCATTCAGGAATGTTACATTGTCATTTGGAAGGGATGAGCCTTGGAGACTACTCTGAGGAGTAGGTAAACACAATCTCAGTAGAGTAACAGAAGGAGAATAAATGGGGGAAAATAGCAATAACAAGACAAAGTCTGCCTGGAAGCGTAAGTTGAAGAAATTAGAATCACCTTTTGGTCATACTCTGCTCATTTATGATCAGCAGATCATAAAGGATCCTTGCAATTGCTGATCGCTGGACTGTTTTTCATTAGGGTCAATTTACAGTGTGTTCTCAACTTTGGGAACAGACTGACCAGCTGATGAGCGATTGTCTCATGTTTATTAAATTAAATGTAGGACATTTGAAGGTGTGACAAAATGAGGGATGTGAAACATGGGGAAAATGGAGAGTTTCTAGAGTAAAAAACTGCTGGTGTTGTTACAAATGAAGCTAGATGTGTAGCCAGCAGAAGGAGGAGGAGTTTTGTGCAGATTCAGATAAGTATACTGACTTTTCAGGCTTCTCTGGATCATTCCTTGAAGCCCTTCCGAGGACTTTTGAGAAGTTGCTCTTCATAGTTAAATTAGATCCTCATTTCTCTGCGGCTAGATTTGTGATTTGCTGCAGATCTTTTTTTTTTTCTTCTTTCTTTTTTTCTAATATGTTTTGTAGACTTCAAGTACTGTCTAAACTTTGGAATGGCAGATAATTGTAAATAATCAAAAAAGCAATGCTGCACTTTCTGCATATAATTTGCAATATACATTATGCTCTGCATTGTTTATATCCATAGTTATTATATGACATGCAAAACGTTATTTTTATGTGAACTTCAGCAGCAGTTGTTTTCGCTTTTCAGTTAAGAATCTTGTTTTTTTTTAAGCAGGTATTTTAGGTTTTGAAACTGTTTTGTAAAGCACCTAGCTTGGTTCTTCTGCAAAGTGGCCTGCTGTGTCATCTAGGGTGCTGAAAAAACTGCAAAAGCCTCATACTTTTTTCAGGAATTGCATTTTTTTTTCTCAGAGATGAAAAGTGAATACAAAGTGCTTTTTGAAATAACGAATAAAGTACATAATAAGAATACTACTTTTCATATACATTGCTTTTTCCTTTGTCCAATGATTTCAAAGCACCTTGCACATTTAATTTTATTCATTAAGTTAATCTTAAATTAATCTCATTGTTGTTGATATTATTATCTTGGACAGATTTATTTAAATAGTAGACCTTTTTTTCTTTACCTCTACCCCATTTTATATCAATTTTTTTTCTTTTCTTTGTAAAGGCTCCTCTGAAACATTCACATGTTTGAATTAGAACTAGTTTCCTGTATTATATACACCCTTATTCTGTTCTTTCTGTTTTTTTCTTCTTTTAAGTGATAATTTGAAGATGTTGTTTCTAATCTCATCCTTATTTTCTCTCTTGCACTGTGGCTGAATCAATAAAATTATATTCCAACTTCCACCCTCTGCAAAACTCTCTGAGCCAAAAAGCATTTTTCTAGGAGGATTAGGATAGGAGAATGTTGGAAGATTTTGTATAGATTATTTCAGCAT